AATAGTGTTAAGGATGGAAATTTCGAAAATTAATTGCCTAATCGAAGAGGTAATTTATTACTAGCGTTCTTAAGAATTCGTAGATTAAATAATTCAAAAGAATTATTATTATTAAAATATTATAGATAGGGAGGTTATTACTAAGGGACGAGAGCGATGGTAGGGAGACTTTTTAGCAGTACTTACAAACGTTTAGTAACAGTAATACTTAAAAAAAGGGTTAAATATAATATAATGGGTCTACGAAAGTATTGTATAGCGAATAATCGTATGAGGTTAAAATACTATATTTAATAGAAAAGAAAAGGATTACTCTAGAAGGGAGTAATTAACAGAAGGCTTTATGTAATTAGAGCCAAGACCGTACGGGCTAAGCAAATATATAGGTCTGGCGAATTAGAGGGCTCGTATTAGCCTTAACGCTATATAATAACCCTTAGCTCGGCTTGGCACGCTTAGTAACAGCCAAGTATATTAACCGGGCGCTAGCCCTATAACATTAAGTATATAAAGAAGTTTGTAATTACTTAAAGGGCTTTAAATTACAATTAGCTGTCGATTTCTTCTTTTATAAGGAAATAAAGGTAGGGGACTAGAAGTATTCAAATTTAACAGTAATTATAGACTAGTAATTTAAATTCGTTTATGTATATTATTAATTGATTTAGTCTTATCACGCTGTAACTATTTATAATATACAGTACTGCTTCTCTTCTTAATCTAGAGGGAAAACCGTATTACGGATGAAAACCTCTAGCTACCCCATTTCCAACCTTAACCTTAGCCCCCGCGCTTAATGCGCCACTTTACTACGTCGCGCTCGGAGGAGATTTTGGTTGCTTCGTCGTTTATTGTTTTTTCTTATCGTTATTTTATCGTCCCAGTAGATTTTCTAATACTTTTAATTAGCTAAGCCACTTCAAAATAAGACCCCGCCCCCCCTTCTACCCAGGATCGGTACTACGGCGTCGGGTATTATTTCTTTTATCCTATCTTCAGGGTATTGAGGGTAAAGAGGAGGGAGGGTCTTACTTAGAATCTTCGCCGATTAGCCTCTATCGGCTATATATACTATATATAGTATATATTTTTTGGTAGGCTGGGATTGGTGAGACTGGATTCTGATGCCGAGTTAGTACTGTAGCTCCGGAATGGATTTTGGAGGTGGAGTTCCAATTTTAAAACTCTATTAGCTGGAACAGAGAGAAAGGCCGTTTCTTCAAGTAGGGATAAGTTTTACACGTACCCAATTACGTATTGCTAGGGTTTTGGACTAGAGCGGGCCCTCCACATCTTTAACGCTTATTTAGGGAGGAAAGTGGGGAAGAAATTCCATCCGAAAAATCGGATAAAAGAGAAGGGAGCGGGATTTGAACCTACGACCTTTCGGATAAAACCGAAGGTAAACTAAGTTCAGATCTTCCCAACTGAGCTATCCCCCCTAAGTATATTATTTAGGTAATAAGGAAGCCGAATCTATTATTGCGTATTTAGAATCCTTTTGTATAGGGCTATAAACTTAATACTAAATTGTACTTTAAATAATCGAATATAATAATAAAATGATTAGTAATAAGAAAATTACCACCTAATTTACTATAAAGGGGACTAATATCGAACCCTTAACGCCTTATATATAAATTTAAAATGGCAGCGTAGAGCGCTGAAGGGGTACAATTAAAACTAAGGGTACAATAATACAATTAAGTATAAATATTCCTTATAAACTATAAATAGAAATTACTAAAGTAGTTATATACTTATATAACTTAACCCTTAAGGCGGAATATTATTAGAAATTTCTCCAAAACCGATTCGAAACGTACTACTAATTTAGAAACGGTATCGTTCCTCTATTAAACCCCTCTCCTACTATCGTATACCTTAAAGTATATAGTTATAAAGCTTTTACTTTTATAATAAAAATTATAAAAGAATAGAGTAAATTAATAAAATTCAAGGACCGCGCTTAGGTCGGATATTTAATTAAATACTAATTAAGGAATATTTATAGGATCTAGAATCCTTATATTAATTCTATTGATATTATACGAAACGTCGTATTTAATAAAAACGAGGTCTTTTATAATAATAACGTTAAAAGAATTTATAATACTCTTAATATTTCCTTTAAAGAACTAATTATATAATTAAAAAATCTTTATTAAAAAAATATCGCGTAAGCAAACGTTTTATAAATTAAGGCTATACCCACTATAAATAATAGAATTCCTAGCCCCGTTATCTAAAACTTTCTTACCGAAACCGAAAATATACTAAGGGAAGAGGGGGAATTAGAGTTTCTAGAAATACAAACTCAATCTAAATCTTTAAAGGTCCCGTAGGTACTAAAAATACTACTAAATTTAAAAATATTATAAGAGTCTCTAGAACCCTTACTATCGCTACCCATATAATTGCCGTTAGATTTCTAAGGTACAATCTTAAATTCGAAGGATAAAAAAGAAGGCTATTTCCTTACGCTTCCTAATAATTTAACCGCATTTTTAATAACTGACTTCTTTCGTTCTCATAAAGAATTATAATTAATTATAAATTAATAGTTTTACTAGGCCGCGTCGTTCTTATTTACAAAGGGTAATCGATCTATAGGCTTCTAAGGAAATAAGGTCGTAGATTAAACTTTCTTAAAATAAATAAGAAAGAAGGGTATCGATATTAATCCTGGCTATAATCCTAAATTAAAAATAATAAAGCATATTATTAACCGCTATACAGTAAAGGGTATATTAAAGACCTTCTATCGAATTAATTTTCTACCTCTTCTAAAGTATTATAGTAATTTCAATTCTTACTCTTTTAAGGAATTTTTTAAAATTATAAAAAAGAAATACTTGAATAAATATAAGGATAAGAAATCCTAAAAGTAAATCAATATCGAATAAGTGGGAAATAATAAAATATTCGGTTCGATATAAATACATAATTACAAATTCGACCAAAACGGCCGGTTCCTAAATATAAGGCGCGTCTAATTATACGTAGGGACTAAAAATCTAAGGATAATATTCGTAAAATATACGCAGCGATTCTAATAATGAAATCGTTCTATATTCTAATAACTATAACCGCCTACTTTAATTACGATTTAACCTAGTATAATGTAAAGAACGCTTTCATCAATACTATTCCTAATAAAGTAATATTTATAAAGGCTCCCTTTAAGTATATTAAAAAAGGCTAGATACTTTAATTACTACGCGCACTATATAACTTGTAGATATCTCCCCTTCTCTAATAATAGGAACTTATTAAGACCCTTATACTTATAAATATAAACATTCTCCCTATAGAGCCTAATATTCTAATTAAAAATAATATATTCCTCTTCTTCCACGTCGATAATATCGTTATTGCTTACAAGTACAAGGACAAAGAAATCGCTAAAATTAAAGGGGTAATAGTTACTATAAAAAGGAAATATTAACTAATAGGTAGAAAATTATTAAAATAGTTTCTAAGTATCAAAATTATTCGAAACTGAAAGAAGAAATTAATTTAATTATTATAGCGCAACTATATTTAAAAAATCGTAGAGAAAATCAAACGTATAAAGAAGCTATACTTTACGCTTACAATTAAAGAAGAGCTCCTACCTTACTAAAATAGCGTAACTCCGTACAAAATTTACATATATTAAATTAAAATTGGTTCGATTATCTATATCGCTATTACGTCGCGACTAAATATAGCCTTCCTAATCTCTAAATTCGCTTAATTTAATTTAAATCCAAATCTAACGTATTACGTAACTATAAATAAAATATTCCTCTATTTTCTAATAATTTAAAATTATACTCTTCAATTAAATAGTAAAAATTATTAGGACTTTTATATTATAATTAACTCTTTATTTATAAATAATTCTCGTAATTGAAAGAATTTACAGATATTCGTACTTAAATTATTAAATACTATTATCGATTAACGTACTAACAAATAAAATATAATTATAATATTATTTATAGAAGTTAAACTATTATCCTTCAACTAAGGAATTAAGGAGACAATCTACGCCCGCCGTCCTTTTAATAAATTTACCCTAAGATTCGAAAATTAAAAGGCTACGCTTATAAATCATAATAATAAATAAACAATATAATTTATTATAAAGGAGGGAATTTAATTCATAATCAAATTTAAGTACATCGATATATATAAATACTAATTAAAATAAGCATAAAATAGAAAATTAGTAAATATAGTTTACGTGCCTACTAAGGAGCAAATTGCGGATAGCTTTATAAAGAGCCTCCTTCCTGTAGTATATTTAAAATTTATAGAATAATTAGGATTTATAAAATTATACTGGCTATAAATTCAATTGCGAAAGCTTAATAACGGAAATATCGTTGTAAACCGCCCAAAGGGTATAAAAGATTCTACAAAGGAAGATTCGAGTAATGAATCGGTAAGTGTAATAGTAAGTATAATAAGGTAAGATTCTTACGAGTAAAAGTCTGAAAGCTACTATAACGAAGAAGTAATTTAGGAATAGCATTATTTCTAGCTAATTTTAGGAGGATTTTAAGGCATTTCAGGGCATATCTAGGTAGATCTGGCGTAGTTTATATACTAGATTTAAGGGGGTGTATTAGAGGCTAGGGGATCTACTAGGCGTATACGTGCCCAGCTGGACTGGGATATGCGGAATTTTTACCCAGATGCCAGAGCTTCGAGTCTGCAGAGCCAGTCTTACACATACATACAATCAAGCTACGTTGAACCCCATATCGATCATTACCAGTAATATCACAACAATCCCCAGTCCGATGTGGAGGGCGTGGAGAATTGGATTTGTCCCGTCCAGCTCTCGAGTCCCGTCGTCGTCTTCCGTCTGTTCCTCTCCTCCACCCTTTTCCTCCGACGTCCATCTTCCACTTTTTTGTCCTCCGTTCCACAACCACACGCCCGTCCCCACCACGCTATACGACGTCCGATTTCCGACATGACCAAGAGCAGCCGTCTCAGCTGCTAACAAACGACTTATGCATACAGTAATTAGCATGCATTCTTACCTGTAGCGATTGCGCATGTAGTGGGTGACACCTCACCTCGCCCACCGAGACCACCACCAGCCAAACATGTCGGTCCAGCAGCAACAACTCCCGCTCCCCGATGGCCCCGGCCCTCATTCCACCGGATCCGCCACCGGCGCAACTACCACTGCCGGCGCCGTCCCCCCTTCCACTAGCTCCGTCGCCTCACCATCCCCCGGTCCGGCTTATAAGCGCGCAAGCCGCAAAGGCGCGACTAAGCGTTTTGCCTGCAACTATGAGGACTGCAACAAGGTGTATTCTAGGGCCGAACACCTCCAGCGCCATCAGCTCAACCACGATCCCAAGGAGATATACCGATGCGATTTCGCCGGTTGCGAACAGCAGTTCGTTCGCGCCGATCTCCTATCACGCCATAAAAAGCGGCATTCGGCCTCGTATGTTCCCCGAAACCGCTTACCTAGCTTCAGCACCCCCAAAGACCACCATGACCTGCCCACTCCAGGCCAATCAACCTCCTCCCAGGGACAGACGCCCGCCTCGTCCGCTTCTCACCAGGTAGCCATCGAGTCTCGCTCCATCTTCCAAGGCGCCCCCCATGATGCTGCCATCCTCCTCATTCCTGATTCCCGCTCGCAACAACCGCAATCGCAGCACCAGGCTCTGCCGTCTCTCCAGCATCTCCAGTCCCACCATCAGCAGCATCAGCAACAGGGGCACCATTCGCACCATCAGAGCTCGTCAGCCATGGGCCAGCATGCGAACTCTCACTGGGCATCTCCAACAACCAACATATCTTCTAAGAATGAGTATTTCCAACGCAATGCGAACCATGGCCATATAGCTAGTCAACAGCCGCCCCTTCTACCATATAACCCAAACGTCGACTTCCCCAGCGAGGACCTGGCCAGAGAGAACTTCGCCGTCTGGCTGTTCAACCCGCAAGACTACAACTGCGACCTCGGCGTCTCCCATCTCCCATTTCTCGATGGCGGACTCGAGTCGGCATTGAACAACAACATTCATTACGACTATGACTCCATCACCAGCGGTCGCTCTCAGGTCGATAGTACTCCTACCCGGGTCACCGAGCCCGACAGCGATTTCATTACCGAGGCCCGTCTCCAGGAACTATCCAGCCTGTTCTTCGCATACAATGCGACGCAATTAAGATCCAGACCCAATGGCCTGCGCATCACAGAGGTTGTCGACAAAAGTGGCTGTGGAACTATGCCGGTCCTGAATCTCGAAATGACGCGCGACTGCTTGCAGGAGTATTGGGACCATGTGTCGGCTCGCCTCCCAATTGTTCACCAACCCACCTTCTCTTACAATAAGTGCTCGGTGCACCTCCTCCTAGTCATGATTGCGTTGGGCGCTGCATCGCTTCGCATGAGAAACTGTGGCGACTGCTACACCCACTACGACGTCGTTGCCGACATTATCGTCCTCGGTGTGCGGTTGGATATACTGGGCACGGAGGAGGCGATTCCGCCTATAGCATTATGGGTTGCGCAGGCGTTAGTCTTACTTGAATTCTACGAGAAGCTCTACTCGTCCAGACTCCTACACGAGCGAGCCCAAACCTACCACCCAGTCCTTTTCAACCTTCTACGTCGAGGAAGTCCACTCATCGGCCGCTCAGGTAGCGAATCGCCTCCAGAACCAACCGGCTCTGCAGATTATAACGGCAACATCACTCAAAACGTCACGAACCTGGACTCTCGAACTTGGTGGTCTCGATGGGCGCAAACAGAGTCAATGCATCGCGTTGTCTTTGCCGCTTTTATGTTGGATATCACTCATGCAGCCATGTTTGGTCATAAAGCCGACATGGTGCCATATGAGATACAGCTACCTCTACCATGCGATGATAATCTGTGGTCGGCTTCGAATCCTGACAATGTTCGCCAGCTCGATCAAAATCTCCGAATGTATGGCGTCAAGCCAGTATCGTTCCTTGAGGGGCTGAAACTCGCAATTCACGGCAAAGAAGTCATGACCCATTCATTTGGCCGCATGATCATCATGTCAGGCCTCCTCAGTGTCGGCTGGCATCTTCGACGCAAAGAAACACACAATCTGATGGATCTTACAAAGATTCCCAACAGCAAAAGTGACAGCTGGAAGATGACTCTGTTGAGCGCGTTTGATCAATGGAAGGCCTACTTCGACAAAGCCCAGGGGTCTCTAGGAGGGTCAAACATGGTTGATCCCATTGTGCCCTATACCGGTTCAAACGGCCCGATACAGAGTGCCGCAGTGCTCTATCATTTGGCGCAGTTCAGTTTGTTTACTGACATTCTGGATTGCCAGATCCTTGCCGGCGCGAAACGTCTCTTGGGCCAAAAAATATCAGATCAAGCCTATATCAAGGTTGTGCCCAAAATGAAGGCCTGGGCAAGCATACCAGGCACTCGCCATGCGATTCTTCATGCCTACAAGGTACTCCATTGTATCCTTGTTGACCCACGAGGAAACAAGGGCGAGCAGAATTGGCAAAACAAAGGCCACGGGCTTCCACCGATCACTATGCAGCCATACTCTTGCCGCAATGAGCCTGATCCGCACCGGCCGTGGATCATGTATTACGCTGCCCTAAGCATATGGGCCTTTGTCCGTGCTTCTACACTTACTAATGTTGCGCCCGTCTCGAGTATCAGTTCTCGCTCCAGGAAACCCGAGCAAGTCAACTTCAATCGCGTTGCCGCTTATCTCTCCAAAGTCGCAGCTCTTTCCGAGTTGCCGGAATCTGCCGCAGCTGGCCTCAAGGATGGGTTACCTGAATTGCTCGACGTCCTGTGCTCAGTCCTCTATGAAGCCAACTCGGAACTTCTCAAAGAGGCATGTGAGCGGCTCACTTGTTGCAAAGACATTCTTACCTCGGAGCAGTGATGGTGGTATACAATGGGGCAAAACATTTCCTGCACCTAATAGGAACGAGTCACATGGCACATTTGGAAGACAATGTATGTATGCTTCCTTTTCTATAATGTCATTGGCGGTAAACCGAAGCAGTTATCTGACCATCTATGAAGTCTAGAATCTTTCGGCGCACCACTGTGCGTATGGGAGAGCTCAAACGCGCCGGCTAGTCCGGTTATTGAGAATCCCTTGTGAATCCGCGCCGGATAACCATCGACTGCGCGTGTGGCGCTGTCAATATCCATCACAGCTTGAAGTATCCCCTCCACAGCTTCCGCAGAATGCCCTCAGGATCCCACTTCAGTGCGACTTGCTTCAGCTTGGCATGATTATCAGCTCCATAACTCTCGAACACGCTTTGCCTGTTACCGGCGTAGTTGGCATAGACAAAGCCATGACTCAAGCCCCTGCTCTTAGCAAGGTCGTTGATTTTACCAATCACTTCCTCAGAGCTCCTCTCCATCAAGTCGTCAAGCGCACTATCCGCCCACTGTGCCGTCAACTGGATCAGCATCAGGGGGCCATCGCTCTGCTTCAGACCCAGCGCGTTCCCACCGTTTGCCTCCATGGCCTTCAGCACGTTGAGTGGGATAGCTTGGTATGCCAAGAAGGGAGTCACCGCAGAGCCCTTTGCGACGGCTAGAAGCTTCTCAACATGGTCCTGCCAAAGAGGTACGATGTCGATGAGAAGGGAAGGATCAGTAGCCTTGACTGTCGTATCCCACCATGTTTGGCGGGAACCGTATGGGACGTCAATCTCACGAGACACGGTCGACACGTTGACGATGGATTTAGTCTTCATGATGGTCGGCAGGGACTCGAAAGGCTCGAACACTCCAGGGACGCTCTCATGCGCACTGTCAGCCGTGTTCGGCAAGTCTGCATGGAACAGGTCGCTAATCACAGCGTAGCCACCCAGCATATCCATGTGCGTCAAGACCATGTAGCTGTGCGCCTTGTTGTCGGCGGGCATGCCGTTAACAGTCAGATTCTGATACGCGGAGATGGCGGAGGCGTTCGCTGCGCCGGGGATGATGAGACTGTTGTGCCAAATATTGCCGCCTGGTTGCTCGTACGCCGCGACGTCGAACCGGGTCACGATGCCGAAGTTGGAGCCGCCTCCGCCGCGCAATGCCCAATACAGATCCTCATTCTTAGTGGGAGAAGCATTGACGATCTGACCGGAAGCGAGAACGATCTCGTAGTTGCGCACGTTGTCACACGCCCAGCCGTACATCCCAGAGAAGTACGAGAGACCTCCGCCGAGAATCAGACCACTGACGCCTACGTCGGCCACACGGCCGCCGACGACCACGAGTCCCAGCGTATCGAGGGCCTCGGAGACATTGATCCATCTGTTTCCAGCGCCAATCGATACCGTCTTACGATCCGATGACACGTTGAGGGTGGTGAGATACATCAGGTCGATGGTGACGCCGCCATCGGAGTTGGAACCGCCTGCGAAAGCGGTGTGGCCACCACCTTTGACGGAGAACTGGGTGTTCAGTGAGGCAAGCACCTTCACGGTCGCCGCGACTTCGAACGCATCCTTAGGCGCCACGAAGCAGGCGGGCGCGATGTTGTCGGTTTGGCGGATGGACCAGTAGTTGTTCTCCTGGGCATATGTGGGCGAGTCGGGATAGTTAACGCGCCCATGAGGGAGAGCAAGGTCGATAGCTTTGCACTGGATGAGGGGAATGTCAGCTTGGGTTCAGATTGCAATGAGATGCTGGGGTCTTACTGCCGTGTCTGATGACGGAGACCACAGAGTACAGCTTGCTGCGGTCGCGAGGGCGAGGGCACCAAGCAAAATCTTGTTAAGGCCCGAGGACAGCATGATGAAGGTTTGAGATGGTGGGGTTTGTTGGCATTAAACGGCGCAGCTGTCAAAGCTGTCAAGTTGTGTTTGGTCCCTGTCGATACTGTGCCATAACGTGCGCACAGGTGGCCGCTATATATTCGAACGTTAATGCGGAATTAATTTTATCCCTTATAAGGATAAAAGAGGATCGAGGCTTCGGGGGTTAAGTTCCACGAATCGATCTTGACATGCAACCTGGAACACATGTGAAGATGAGGGACTAACCGTACTATCGGGTCATATCAAAATGCCCATTGTTCAAAATAGGAATGTCCATGTTGATTCCAGGGTCATGGATTCCCTTCTTTTGCGCTTGGACAAGGGACGAGAAACTGATATTGTTACGTTCCCCGCAAATCTTCATTACCAAGTCCGACCTGCGCGGTGATAACCCCACTCGAGATCCGGGACGGAGTGTTCCCGAGGAGGAGGTGAGCCCTAGAACTATCAACTAACGGATATAAACACACTGTGTACTATCCTGCCACGCACATGTCTTTCCAAGCTTCTAACCAATGCCATGCACACAGTGCGACCAACTCCTTGATCTTGATCAGGGACAGCACAGCACGTGGACGACAGAGCATCATTGGAATCCATTCCCACCTTTCTTGATGGGAAGTGTCTCTTCCGGGCCGCGTACTTGCACTTCACCGCTTGCTAGTTTTGTCGAATGTACGGATGTCGAGCTTTCCGATGGGGAACTCCGTTGCAAAACCAAGTTGAACTGGCGCTAGCACATCATGAATGGGATGCGTCTCCAAGCTGGACTCTGATTTGGAGGAAGGCTTGGAGAAAGACAAGCTAGGTAGCCGAACAGCACAGCATCATCGTTGTCACCGTGTAAAGAACTGCCTGGGTCCTGAAGAGAAATCATCTGAATGATGGCAGCCAGAAAACAGAATTATCAATCACCAAGGTTGCAGTAACAAAACATACATGATTAAGAAGCAACGCCTCGGGCGATATTGCAATAGCATTGTACATAGTAACATCACCTACCCGTTTTTCACCACATAACTACAATTTCAGGACCTGATTTTCAACAACAACCAAGGCAAGATGGCCGAGCGGTCTAAGGCGCTGTGTTCAGGTTCTTCTGAGTATCGCAGTCCGAAAGGGCGTGGGTTCGAATCCCACTCTTGTCACTGGATTTCTTCTTTTGCTTTTTGCTTTCCCATTTTGTTACCTTTTATTCTCTTCTCGTTTTTTAATTGCGCTGTCTCTTTTTTTTGCATGTTGAACCCTCGTGCACATTTCGGAAAGGGTGGTGGTTATGTTGGTGTAGAATAAGGTTGGGGAGGATACCTTAATCATCACTGGTCGTTCCTTTCATTTTGCATGTAAACATGATGCAAAGCATCCATCCTTGTGCTAACCATTTGCCTGTTGGCCCTTTTTCCTTCTATTATCTCTCATTAAGTTCCCTTTTGAGCTGCCAGCAGACCCCAAGTTCATATGCAAACCACCCCCCTCCCCCCCCCCCCCCTCTCCCCCCCCCTTTCTCATTTTCCTATTATTTTCCCGCCAAAGACATCAGCCCAAAACTATCTTTTCCCCGTCTCACTCCGTCCGGTTTGCGAACCTCAACTAGACCGGCAAAACGTCATACTCCTCGGTGATATCTCCTCCAAACCCGGCCTGCAACCACCCACCCCCATGACTCCTCCGCCCTGGTGGCCGGCCCAGTCAACTTTCGCAAAGTTGGGCTGGGCCCCTTGTCCCAAAATGGGTGATTCTTCTACCTTAACCTCCCCCTGCTTCGGCTTTTTCTTTATTATTATCTTGATCTTCTTCGGCGGTGATTGTGATGAAGTGCTGCTGTCTGTTGAGCCGGGACTTGGAGGGTGTAGCTGTAGCTCTGGAAGAAGGGAGGAATCGGAAGAAGTGCTGACGCTGTCACAGGCTTTGCGTTTGAGTTCCATTTTCGTTTCGTGCAGCTGGTCTCGAATTTTATGGGGAAAAAGTGTTGGAACACGATTGGAAAAGCCGCCGGTCGGTGACTGACCCCGGGAGGATTATATCTGGGGAGTTGGAAGATTGTGTGGATGAGTTCGTCGGGATTGTGTGTGATATTAAAGGGTATTACAATAGGTAATGTTGTTTCGAAGATTGCGAACTTGACCGGCAAGTTACTGCAATATTTTGAAGGGAAAGATCAGAAGAGAGAGGATTGAACGCTCGTCGAAGGATGATGTCTGTGAAGGCTGGTGGTGGTTAGCTTAAAGTATAAATGTGAAGCTGTGAATGATGCTGAACTGGTCGTTCAGTTCGATGTTGACACGCAAGACATCCCAGATGCACGCACACCTGTTGAGCCCCATTGCGAACCGTGATACCGTACTCTCTTTGTTCTCACACAAGGCCTTTGAGTCCTCTGGAGCTTCCCACTCTCTCTCTTGTCGAAATGAGCTAAGACAAAGGAACGCTGAACAAAGGTGGCTCACCTGAAACATTCACCTGAAATGTTCCGTCACTTCTGTGTCTCTGTCTTGGATTCCACGTGAAATGATGGTGTCTCAGACAATGTCGTATCTGCCACTTTTATGAGAGGTCTGATATTGGTCAGTTAATAAATCGCCAATCTAGATGAATAGCTCGTTTGGCGACTTGCAGTCAGCCCTCTCACCATGGCTGCGGGAACTGTACCACCCCAATCTTGATGTCCTTGTGATACATCAGTTATCTTTTCAGGAATTTGGGCCACTGAATTGATGACGGCTACTTCGGTCAATTTCCTACCAACCACAACTCATCCCGCCACCTCATCTACTGCGGAGAAACGGCAGAGTGACAACGTGTCAAGCGGGTCCATGGATTATTCCAAACATGTTCAAAAGCAGGTTTCATCGGGTGCACAAACGATGATGACTGTCTTTATGGAGGAATAGAAATACCATCGCAAATAGAGGTTTCGGCGATCATCTTAAACCTCCCCCCTTTTTACTCACTCCTAAACACCATTGCCAAAATCAAGACTCCTCATCCTTCCAACCATCAACAAAACATATTCCGTTCTCACTATTGCACCCAAACCCACCATGGCCGGACCAGCCCCCTCCCTCCCCGCCACCATGCAAGCCCTCCGCATCACCTCCTTCGGCGCTCCCTACACTCTAACCACCATCCCCGTTCCCTCCCCCTCCACCCTCCGGCCTCATGACCTCCTAGTCAAAGTCGCCGTCGCCTCCCACTGCCACACCGACACCATCATCCGCCTGGGCGCCATACCCAGCATCCCGCTCCCCTTGACCGGATCGCACGAAGGTTCCGGAACCGTGGTAGCAGTCGGTTCCTCCGTCGCCGCTGATGGCTCGTTTAAACCGGGTGATCGCGTCATGTGCGGTATTCCACTGGGACTTTGTGGATCGTGCTGGGATTGCACGGCTACTGGAAAGGGAAGGGAAGGAGGGGAACATTACAAGCATTACTGTGCACATATCGATGGGCACATCGGGATTCAGGTCGACGGAGTGTTTGCTGAGTACGCGATTGTCGATAGCCGGACGAGCACGGTCATTCCGGAGGGGGTCTCGCTGTTGGCGGCGGCACCGCTGGGGTGCGCGGGCAGGACGGCGTGGAGGGCAGTTAAGGAGGCGGGATTGCAGCCGGGGCAGTGGTTGGGTATTGTCGGGTCGGGAGGAGGGTTGGGACACTTGGCGGTGCAGTTTGCGACGAAGATGGGGTTGAAGGTTGTTGGTGTCGAGGCGAGGGATGGGGGCCTGGAGCTTACGAGAGAGATGGGGGCGGATGTGGTTGTCGATGCGAGGATGGGGAAGGATGAGGTGGTGAGAGAGATTGGGAAGGCAGTGCTGGGGGATGATGGGAAGGAAGTTGACCATAACGGTTTGTTTGCTACGGGAGGTGTCGATGCTACTGTCAACTTGTCTGACGCGGATGATGCGGCTGGACTGGCGTGTGCGATTACGAAGATGCATGGGTTGATGGTGCAGGTTGCTCAGCCTTTAGAGGTGAAGATTCCGTTCATGGAGCTGATAATAAGAGATGTGAGGATCAAGGGCAGCTTGCAGTGTTCAGGGGAGGAAAGCGAGGAGCTGTTGAGGTTTGTCGCTGAACATGGAGTCAAGGTAAAGATGACTCCGTTCTATGGGCTAGATCAGGTTGAGGAGCTAGAGAAGGTGGTTTCAAGCGGAAAGCTCCAGGGAAGGGCAGCGATTATCGTCGATCCGCATCAACTTCAACAGGAGAAGGAGATCGTGAGACATTAGCTGAAGGTTAACAGTATTTCAATGCTAAGATATCATTATTCATAAGTTCATCCCGGTGTTGTTTCGCATCATGGGCGCCGTCATTACTCCTTGATCTCCTGCTTCCGGAAGGTGTCTGCAATTCGGTTAGATTCTACACTTAACGGATACTTCACTCACCCCCGGATCAACTCCCTGAACCATACCTGAAATATCGGGCATCCATTTGGGCTTGTTCTTGCAGAAGAACTCGCCCTTGGGAGGCACCTTTTCCGGCTCGTCAAAGGAACCCCACATGATGTACCGGAACTTGTCTGCTGCCTCTTCCTGTGAAAGCATGAGTAATGGTTTTCCAGATGACATAGTGTTGAGATCGATCTTACCCCGTATTCACAGATATAGGCACCACAGTTATCGCAAAACTCTCTTGTCACTCCATTGTGTTGCTTGAACTTCTTTGGCGTGCCGGTCTCGTACTTGAAGTCCTGGAGGGGGACCTTTGTCGTGAGGCCATAGTTGGTTCCAAACGCCCTCCTGCAGCTGTTGCAATGGCACAGTGTGGTTCTCGCATCGTCCAGAGACTCGAGTTCTAGTGAGTACTGCAAGTTCTTGCAGACGCAACGACCCTTCATGTGGATGCTCATGATGAACGTCTGGAGAAGGTTCCTTCTGAAAGTTGGCGCTGTAGAGGTAACGGTCTGTGACAGGCGAGGTGTCCTTGGCTGGTTGGCGCGGAAGATCGAAGTTGGCTTTGGTAGGACTCGGCTGAAGAGTATTCTCTGGCCGAATATTGCAAGATTGTTTGTTTCGATTGTGAGATGTTGCTCTGTCAGAGTCGAAGTGGAAGTTGGTTCTCGAAGGGAAGTCGTGTAAGTCAACATCGATGGCCTGTGACGTCAACAATCTACAGTGCCTGGCGCAGTGATCTGCAGCTGCTGTCCCTGCACAGTGCACAGTGCATGCTGTGTGCCTGTGTCCCTTCCATTTCTCACCAAATCCGGGATGAACATCGCGGACTTCTTACAAGTACGCTACACCACCAATGTCCTGAGTTTGCACTTCTAGATCTCGAGATACCTTCATGGGGCTCGCTTTGGCTAACAAACAGCTGTGGGAATATGCAAGTCAGCATCCCTGCCATTGCTGACCTGTTCCCACCCTCAAACGCCTTGACAGTTGCCAAGACTTCCCGAGAATTGAGCTGACGACAACTTTTTGGCAAACGGACCTGTGAAACGAAAAGAACAAGACTTTATTTGCCCATATCTCCACCAAATGAGGAGATGAAAGAAAAATGATTGTAGATTCGACATCAACATACTTGTGACTATCAAGAGAGCACTATTTTTGATAATATAATTGAGTTTCTTGATTTTCGTCTTTCGTTTCGATGGTCCGTTTGTCAAAAAGTTGTGGTCAGCTCAATTCTCGGGAAGTCTTGGCAACTATCAAGGCGTTGAGGGTGGGAATGGGTCTTTGGTGCAGTCCCCTGGAAAGCGCTAACAGTCCGGAAAGACCTAAATTGACAAACCTTCAAAGCCAAACCACCTGTTGAACATCGGCTTACAAACATGTGTAAATCAACACATTCAACGGGCGATGCGATGGCCAGATCCAAAATGCCTTTGATCTTGAAAACGATCAGCTGGCTTCATGGCCTGCGCCACGAAAACACGCGCGTCACGCCCGCTAATCTTGCATACGCCACACTGTCGGCTTTGCATCGCCGCGCTTAAAGTCGTACGCAGTACATTAGGGAACGATACCCCCCTGACTCTGGGGAATAACCATCAGTGATCTATTCTCGTTGCCGCGACTTCCGGCGATCTCGTTCCACAGTTTTTTCAGCTGCGAGACTGTGAGACATTTCGAAGAGAGGATATAAAGAGTCGATCGGCCTTTCCTGACACCCTTCATTCAAACAGCGGTGCTTGGCGTTGCCAATTATTCCTGTCGCAAGGAAGGGACGACTTCTTGATCCACAAGTGCTTTCCCGGGCCTTCCCGGCTAACGTGGGACCGTGCAAGCCATCAAGGGCTAGATCACAAACGATACGTCACTGCACAAACCCACCAACGACAACGACAACGGCAACCACCAGATCAGTCTGAGAGATGCATATGAGAGACCTCTTACACATGGGCGGCAGCGACTCCGACTCGCATTCCGTCGCGCAGTCCGAAACGCCGTCGGAAGCGGCCCATCGCCATGAGCTGCTATCGAGAGTGCAGAGCGCCCTCGCCGGCATCATCGGCTTGGGCGCACTACCGTCCATCATCCCGCCCGGCAGAGAACACCACCACTGCAAAAAACGACCGGTCTTTATCGCTTGGCATCCCGTGGCGGACAACTTAGGCGTGTTATTTGCCGAGCATACGCGGCTTGGACAAGCTATTACCAAGGAGATGGGCGAGTTTCCGGATCCGACGAATCACTGGGCTGTGATAGTGGGGGATCAGGATACGGATTATTATCATGAGTTGTGGATGGTATGTATGTTGTGATGGGAATTTCGAAGAATAGCTGGATGAATGGACCGGGAACCAGGAAGACAGATGCTGACTTATTGAAACAGGAGAAAGACTTCACAGTGGTGAACCAGCACGGCTTAGTCGGTACCCAAAAGTGGACGAACAAGCTAAAAGTTGGCGAGACAGGGTGGAATGATCAAGCAGTATTAGCAGCCAGTAAGTCCAAACAAAGTGCCCCATTGTATTCTTGGAGCAATTTACCACCAGAAACACTCACACCACCTGCTTACACTCACACAGGCAACAAGGCAATAAAAGAGATGAAGCCAAGGTACGGCTTGATCGATAACAACTGCCAAATCTTCGCCTCCCACCTCCTCCTCCAGCTAGGCATCAAAATGGGGACAGACATCAATACCGCCCAAGACATGAGAGACAAGTTACTCGCAGAGTTCAGCAAGACATCGACATCATGGCGAAAGAAATTGACCAACAAGGACTGGCAGGCCCCGACATTCCTGAAAGTGCAGGAGATTCGGCGGAGTATCAGCCCTGCCTTTGGGGGAAGTGTAGAACCACAACCAGAACCACATGAGGAGGTTGTGATGCAGGAACGACAAGCCAAAATCCGACCTTTTAGTTGGGGAAGAAAGAAAGAAGTGGTAGCGCAACTTCCGACGCCTCCATGAGTATATCCCTCAGCTACTTTGACGCTGACAGAAACACCAATGATACCCCCAAATACCTGTGATTAAACTGTCAGGGTATAATTCAAGTAATTCCCGTTCCCTGCCGCACGCGGATAGAACTCGAACGTGAGCGTGGCACTTTGGCCTGAAGCAATCACGGCATCCAGCGTCTGCCTCCGGATGATAAGCTTGTCGAAGTCAAAATCCCACTGGCCTCCATACGTCTGTTTTCTTGTTAGCACTTGGCCTCGGACAAGACTCCGTGAAAGGAAGCGGTAAAGAGGGAAGGAAAGGAAGAAGAGAAAATAGGAAGGGGAAGAGGAGGGACTTACTCCACGGCCCTTTTGCAACTCAGGCAACCACATGGTCCAGTCATCAAACAAATACGACCCATCCGCCTTGATCATCTTCACCGCCGCCACCCGATGCAGCCCCTTCCAGACCACCGGAATCCATAAATCACCTGCCGCCACCGCGCTCGCCGACGAGCTCGTCTGTGCCGGCACCGGCACATCCCACTGGACGATCTCCACCTGACTCTTCGCGCCAGCCGAGAACGTAACCGTGATATTCGCCTTGGTCCCCGGCGCCGCGTCCTTGGAAAGATACTTGCCCAAGAACTCCTTCTTAAGCGTAACCGTCCCCTTCTCCGTCCCCTGCTCCTGGACCGCATAATCCTTCCCAGCCTTAAGCGCCACCCCATCAACACTCAACGCCTTGAACCGATTGCCATTCAACGCAAACGACAAGTTCCTCCCTCCGTCCCCGACATCCTCCCCAACCTTATTAAACACATACGCCGAGCTCTCCTGCGTCGTCGCGCCGCCATCCACCGTGCTCTCCGGCAACGAATTCATCCTCCCCTTAACAGCATTAACAATAATCTCCACCGCGACTTCATCCCTCCACCGCCCCGTCTCCCTCTGCAAATTATCCAATCCATTATCCCACAGCACCGGCACGATATTCAGTCTCCTTGCGGCGCTGACAACGGTGTCAAACCACCGCCACCTCGCCGCCGCCTCCAGACTCAGCTGGCTCGCATCAAACTCGCCCAGATAGATCGGGATCTTCGCATCTCTTGTAACCGCCGTCAGATTTCCCCTAACAGCTTCCAAATCCGCCACCACGGCAGCTTTATCACTCTCACTCCCCCACACCGTCTTTCCCCAAGCCTGAAAAATGAAGTCGTAAGGCGAGTAGTAATGGAACTGGAAAACCCACGGATTCGTCATATTCCCCGGCACCCGGAACCATCCATTTTGTAACCGATCCGCCCCGCCCATGTTCAGCGCACTCAGGGTAACCACTCTCTGGGAATTCCACCTGCCGCTTTCCCGCAGGGCCTGAATAAACAGATCGTTAAGACCCATCAACCGCTCCGCATCTTCGGCTGTCGAGCCAGGTGGCTCGTTGATGGGTTCAAATGCTACCGTGGCTGGCTTGCAGGCGAGGTGGGTGGCGATTTGCAGCCAGCCAGCATAAAACTTTTCGCGGATGAGAGTGATGTTTTTACCGGAGGCGGAAGAGACGTCGGCCCAGGCCCAGGAGTCGTGGTGCATGTTTGTTACTACTAGCAGGCCGCGCGAGGTGGCCATGTCGATTACGGAGGAGACGCGGTCGAGCCAAAGGGGAGAAATGGTGTGGTTTGTGAGGGAGGTGGGGGAAAGGAAGTGGTCGGAGTATGTTACTTTGGGCGGTTGTGGTCAGTCCTTGTGATCGGTTATGTCGGATTCTTCATGAGGAAGGCATGGTCGAATGGAGGGGAGGAGGATGAAGAAAAAGAGAAACATACCAGGAATCCGAACAGACTTGAACCCAGCTGCTTTGACTACGTCAAGAGCATTGGCCTGGAAGATGGGGTTGTTCCAAGACCCTTCGTCGGGAACGGCGTCAAGCGTGTTTCCGAGATTCCATCCGGGAGTCGCGGCGTCCATAAACGCTTGGGCCGAAAGCTTCTTGAAGCTGCCGGGCGGGCATGTCGTCTGTGTTAACAACGGATGATGTCAGTATAGTGCACAACACGAAAGTTATAAGCTGACAGGATCCGTTACCTTCGGCCCCTGTGGTATCTTGGCAGCCAGAGTGACCTCGACAGCCACCGAGAGGCCCAAGGCCACTGTAGTCGTGAGCCTCATCTTGTCTTTCGGGGTCTGTCGTGACTACAACGACCTCTGGAAAGTGCCACGGTTTGAACATCGTGGAATCTAAAGACTGAGACGAGGTTTTTGAGTTTATAAGTGTTGCTCATCCTCCGTTCACCGGTCCTAAAAGGGGAAATTACAACGGTGGCGTTGCAACGAGATGGACATCGGGGAGGCCCTTCCGTGTCTCTCTCCGCACTCCCCAATTCAGCCTAGATCATGGACTCGCTTGAGCCCAGGAACGTCGAAACCAAAGGATTTACTGGTGGACTATTTCGCATTATTCTGTTAATGCAACCAATGTCCAGTTAATGGGTTGTCATCTTCGAGTTCATGAACATTGTCGCTGGAGTTGGTCAGGAACGAGATCTGTGATTGGGGCGGCTTTCGCTGTGTCACACTCAAGAGATGCGCCTGATGTCCCGAAGCGGAATTCTGCGCACGTCAATATCTCACTATAGGTCTAGAAGGTTAGGATATCGTCCCTGCTGTCAGAATCGTATTCGTATAGCTATTCGGCTCTCCCGGGAATGTCCTTTTGTGCGCGGCCACCGATTTTACCAAGTTCGGTTTCAAGCTCAGGTCACTATGCAGAGAGTGAAAGCTCGTCTTGAACAAGAATGTTTAGCGTTGAGACTGCTAGATATCTCTACATGCAGATGAATGCCACACAAGACTGGCACTAAAAAAAAGAAGAGGATAATGGTATGAAACAAGGAGTCAAAGTACGACCGCAGATACTGGCTGGACAATCCAAATGGTTGCGTATCTGTTTATCCAACCAGCAATCGACGACTGAGTTAGCTTTCCAACGGTTTGCCTATAATGTAGACAGCCTCTTCTGCTTCGGGAAGAGGATAAGGAAGCATCTGGAAAGGAGGAGGTAAGAGGTGTACGGAATAGGTAGAAAGAGATAGGAGAAAAGATGGGCTTCGCCCTCATCACTTAAGCCGGGCCTCAATCGCGGCTTTGATGGCTAACAAGATAGGTAGGTCAGTATCAACTCGATCACATCTTGTCCATACGGCAATCACTAACCTTCTGTCGTGACTCTTGCATCTCCGAAGAGCATCTTTGTCCCCGGCATGTAGAACATGGGATTCGGTACGTCGGCTATTTTGGTATGTCAGCTTCATGAAAACTTACCACAACGTTCTTGATGGACTTCTTACCGTATCCACTAGCCAAGCCTCTCTTCATCACCACAACTTGCTTGCTCTTCCAAGCATGCAAAACGGGCATTCCAGCAATGGGACTGCCTGGCTCAAGGGCAATTGGGTTGACAGTGTCGTTCGCGCCGATGACAAGCGCAAGGTCTGTCTCGCCAAAGTCATCATTGATCTCATCCATCTCCAGGACAATGTCATACGGCACGCTAGCTTCCGCTAGAAGAACATTGCACTGTCCAGGCATGCGACCGGCCACGGGGTGAATGGCGAAGCGCACTTTGATGCCCTTGGAGCGCAACATCTGGGTAATGTCTGAGATGGCGTACTGCGCTTTGGCTACAGCCATGCCGTAACCGACCACAATGATGACGGACTCTGCGTTAGTTAGTGCTTCGGCTGTGTCTTCGACATTGGTCTGCGTCACACTCCCCTCTATCTTGTACTCTGTCATTGTCGGAGCAGATATTCCACCAAAGAGTACATTGGTGAGTGAACGATTCATGGCCACACACATGATGTACGAGAGGATGGAACCCGATACACCTATGAGTGCACCAACTGTCGTCAGCAGCGGGTTATCCAACATGAAGCCTTCAGCAACAAGAGCAAAGCCGCTGTAAGCGTTCAAAACTGTGATAACCACTGGCATGTCGGCACCACCGATAGCCGCAGTTGTGGTGTAGCCCTTGAGAAACGAGAGAACAGTGTTGGCAGCCAGAGCACCGGCAGCAATTGCTGGAGATCCAGGGGCCAATGTGACAAAGGCACCCATGGTGGCAACATTCGAGGCCAGCAGACCAGAGTTAATCAGGTGTCGGCCAGGCAAAATGGTTGGCTTGGAGGACATTCTTCCGGAGAGCTTCATGAAAGCCACGATTGATCCAGTAAAAGTCACACCACCAATAAGGACACCGAGGTATGCAGTAACGAGATGAAGAGTCGTGATATGATCCACATCAGCCATAACGCTTCCGATACTGGTAAGCACAGCGGCTAAACCCACCACAGAGTGCAAGGCAGCAACTGTCTGTGGAAGATCAGTGGGCGTGATGCGCTTCCCAATAAGCAAGCCCAAAATACCACCAATGGCAGCCAGACCACCGAACTGTGCAAGGACCTCGGGTGAAAAACCAGCAGCGAGTAGCGAAGCAAGGACTCCAGATCCTACGCCCAGCATACCAAGCGTATTTCCCAAGCGTGCAGTTGCTTGAGATGCCAGAGATGAAAGCGAAGTGATGCAAAGCACGGAACTAACCAAATAGCCGGCCTGGACTAAACCGGCTGCACCTGAAGCCGCAGCGGCAATGAAGCCACCGCCGAACAAAGCGGCAGGAACAGCGTAAAGCCACGGGTATTCCGGAGGGTCAGTGGCGCGACGGAACATGTCGAGCATTCGTTTGGTGATGACAAAGCCACCAGAGATGTTGACAAATGCGAGAAGCACGGAAGCAGCGCCGAAAGCCTGAGGAATGGTCTCAGGGAGGTAGCCACCACCCAAGATGAAGAGACCGCCGACCCCCACCATGCCTGAGATTGCATTGGTGACACTCATCAAGGGTGAGTGCAAAGCAGGGACGACACCCCATATAACGCGGTAACCGATGAGCGAGGCCAAAGCGAAGGTAAAGGCGTTGCCCATGAACAGTGGTCCAGTAAGCTTTCCCAGAGCAAGGGCAGCGCCCATACCACCTGTTACGAGGCCTACTTCGCGCGAGGTCTTCTGGAACGGTGTCAGAGCCACGACTTCTGCTTCCTTGGCTGCGGTCGGGGTTGATGCTAGTGCGGGCGGTGGTGCTGGTCGAGGTGCCGGTGGTAGGATCTTCCCTTTGTCAGTGACAATCGCACCCCGAACCACCTCGTCTTGGAGGTCGATGCCGTATTCCTTGTCTTTTGGCGCCATGGAAAGCAAAAACTTGGTGATGTTGTTCGAGTATAGAGTGGACGACTGTGTAGGTAGGCGAGACGGGAGATCAGTGTAACCTGGTTTTCCTGTCAGTCAGACGCTTCTCCTATTCATGGCCATGATACTCACCGATGACTTTGACATCCTTGTGGTTAATGAGTTTTCCGGGCTGGGTCACTGCGCAGTTTCCGCCAGCCTCGGCCGCCAGATCAACAATAACGGAACCGGGCTTCATGATCTCGACCATGGCTTTGGTAATGAGCTTGGGCGCAGGTTTTCCGGGAATCAAGGCAGTAGTGATGATAATGTCGACCTCCTGAGCTTGCTCCGTGAACAGTTTCATTTCGGCTGCGATGAACTCTGGCGACATTTCCTTGGCGTAACCTCCAGCACCCGAACCGTCTTCCTGAAGCTCGACTTCGATGAACTCAGCGCCGAGTGACTGAACCTGCTCACGAGCGGCGGAACGAGTGTCGAAACCACGGACTATGGCTCCCATTCTTCTAGCCGTGGCAATGGCGCTCAAGCCAGCGACGCCAGCACCAATGACCAAGACTTTGCAAGGAGGGATCTTTCCAGCAGCTGTAACCTGACCTGTAAGAAATCGACCAAAGACGTTGGAGGCTTCCAGAACTGCTTTGTAACCGGCGATGTTGGCCATGCTGCTCAACGCATCAAAGACCTGCGCCCTGGAGATGCGAGGGATCATGTCCATGGCAAAAACAGTCGCGTTCCGGGAGGCAAGCTTCTCTACGAGCGGCTTGTTCTGAGCTGGCTGAAGGAAGCTAATGATGGTTTGTCCTTTTCTGAGCAATTCCGCTTCGGCGACGCTGGGACCGCGAACTTTGAGCACGATGTCGGCGTTGCTCCATACATCAGAAGCAGAATCGACAAGTGTTGCACCGGCTGTTACGTAGGCAGAATCGTGAAACTCGGCTTCGGTGCCGGCTCCTTTTTCGACAAGAACCTTTCCAAAACCTTTCTTGAGCAGGAGAGCGACATTTTGAGGAGTCAAGGCCACACGACGTTCATTGGGGTAGGTCTCGCGCGGGACGCCGACTGTAAGCTGCTTATAGGGGATAGTAGGTGGGAGAGTAGGGGTGGCATCGGTAGAATATGTTGCTGAGGAGCCCTTGGACGGCAACTGAGGCGGAATGGATGGGATAACCGAAGCACGACGGACGATTTGCAAGGACTGGGCTTTGAGAGTTGTGAGAGCAAGAGACGCGGAACCGGGACGTTGTTCTTTGTGGAAAGTGCTATGCCATGATTGACGGGAGCTTATGACGGTGCCAATTCGAACAGACGGAGTTTGGCTGCAGTCTTCGGAGAGATCAGCTAGATGAAATTCATCCCATGTCTGCTTACCAGTTCATCCGAGCTTTCCAATGTCATCCCAAGTCTCTGGCGCTAAAGCAAGTCCACATTTTGACAGAGAGATGGAGCGGGAACTCTGGTATTTTGACTTACCAAGAAGGCGCGCAATGATGCGAGATGCTGGAGACAAAGATGCGGAAGCATTCTGGGCCAAAGCTGGCCGGAGACCCGACCACGACCACATGGTGATCTACAATGGCCGAGAAACTGGAATGGCTTCGCCGTCAAGACGAACCAAACCTCAACTGCTCATTCCACGTTCAACATACGGGTAGTTCAAGGATGTTGTTGAGGATATTTCTGTAGGAAGCTGTTGTAGATGCGAAAGAAGCCTCAGGAAATTTGTCGAGATAGCTTCTCGGTGCTAGGAGAAAAAAAGGCAGAGCTCGACTGGTGTGTTGTCGTCGCCTGTCGTGGCTCGGTGTTCAGTCGTACCGTGCTGGCCCAGGGGTACAGGTAGGTATTCGCAAGTCGATGTCGGCTACACGACACCTTTCGTTCCCGGGATCTTAACCGCCTTGAGGTCGCGTCCTTTGATGGTGTCTCCGGAAAAAGGGACTGGGTCGTCCAAGGTCCCCAAGAGGAGGAGGAGGAAGAGGGAGGTGATGGAGGGATAATGAGGGAACAATGGAATTGCTGCACCATGATTCCATTGTACAACGACACCGTCTACAAAAAGAGCCGGAACACGATGATCGCTGGCTGCTCCTACCCTCCCCGCGTCGTCCACCCTCCCTTTCCCACGCCGTGGATTGCGCGTGGTTCGAAGTTGACCCAAGTTGACTGCATGCTCAGCCGTAAAGGGTACCTACCCCGCCCTTGGGTATCAAACGTTTGTCGCCATTGATGGCCATTGAGTGGTGCAAAATTACCCGGAAACAAGCATCGTGCAGGAACTGGCGAGAAACATGCGCTCGGCCGGCTCGGCGGCATTCATCTTGACTGGTCGTGTGGTCGCCCTGGTGTAGTGGGAGAGCTGGTGGTTGGTGATGAAATATCGTGACAGGCAGCAACAAGAGCGATGAACGGTGCGAGAAGTTGGAGAAGAATGGGCGGGAGAAAGTGAAATGGTCACCGTTTGCCTCTTGCAAGTTCTGCATTGTCCGCTGTTGGGCGCTTAAATGAATCTTCGACACTATTGTCCTCATTTATGGAAAGAGCGAAAGAGATGAATCACTTGATTTTGTAATCGAGACTTCCAATTATGACACAGGAACATTGGCGCTTTGTAGGGAAGGAAGGACTCGGAGTTTGGACGTTGTTCAGACTGCGCAAAGCTTGGATCCATAATGCATGTACTCCAGCGTGTGATCTGTTAAGAGAGACTTTTTTTAGGCACTAGTAAGGAGTGGAAACTCGGAGACCTTAACATTCATAGTGTATAAGTACTTCTCTTATGGAACCCCACCCGGACGGCCTGGATCACAATGCGGGGCCGGGAATGTGGGGTAAAACGCGGAGGCGTGCGGGGCCGGGCCGGGCTATCCTGGAGGGCCCCCGTTCTTCTCTCCCGCGATTTCGATGGCCATCAATCCTCCAACTACTCACTTCGCGATGATTTTATTCGAGGAATTCGAGATATGACAAAAAACCCCTTATGAAATTATCAATGCAACACTCTAACTCGCCCAAAAGCACACCTTCCCGGTCCTCGAATATCAGTGGTACCCCCACACCACCGGACTCAAACCGTTCTCTGCCAACCACCCACAACCCACAAGATGTGTACATCTTGACCTTGTGACAAACAGATCATCGGCCTCTTGGGTAACATGAACCCAACCACTGCATCTCTGATATTACCACAAATCCTGCAACCTTCAAGCCTCGCCTCATTTTGGTTGGTATAATAGCCGCGAGCAAGTAGCCGTGTATCCGTACGGCATATTGGTATTGGGAAGGCGCGTCCCGCGCACTAACCAGAGTAGGTATAAAACCTTAGCCTAATAGGCATAACTATAAATAGTTTTCCTTTACTAATATAAACTACTACTACTAATTATTGCAACCCTTTTCCTTTAACGTACCTAAGCGCCGCATTTTTAGCGTATCCTCCCAAGGGATCGTAATAGTAGCTATTATTTATATTTTATTATAGAATATAATTTATTCGGCGAATTTTTCGAACGAACGAATTAAGACGAACCGATACAAATTAATACGAATTAATACGATTTAATACGAATTAGATCGAATTAAATTAATTTAGTATAAGATAAACATAAATAATACGGGGCGTCGATAATTCGTATGGATCGGCCGACCAATTATATATTTAATATTTTCTTTAAAGAGGCTCTAAAGGAGCGTAAAAGGTTTAGGTAATTCCGAATCGACTATATATTATTATTACTTTCTATATAGGAGATATTATATTAATATAAATATAGAATTAATTATTGAATATACTATTTAATTATTACTTTCCGATAAGAAGAGGAATATTAAATAATCGGGAAATTTATTACTATATTCTAGAACGTAAAAGTAGAAGGGTTTAACGGGAGAAGTAATATATTTAATATTTTCCGGGGAATAGAGAGAGAAAGAGAAAAAGAATTTAAAGAAGGAAGTAATAAGAAGATTGGAAGTAGGGGTAATAAAGAGGAGTAAAAGTAAGCGAAGTTATTAATAAAAGTAGGAAGCCGGTAATAATAGTAAATAAAGTTATTAATAGAAGTAGGAAGCTAATAATAGAAGTGGGCGAAATTAGTAATAGAAATAAGCGAAATTATTAATAGAGGTAGGAAAAGTAGGGAAATTTAGGAAGGATAGTATAGGAGAGGTTAGAAAACAGTATAAAAGGAGCTAAATTAAGTAGAAAGATTGGGGGGACGCCTAACGGCGAAATTAAAAGAAGGAGTAAAATATATTATAGTAAAAATATATATAAATACTTAATACCCGCACCCCTTTGAGTCTATTTCCTTTCCCCTATTATTAATATATTCTTGATTAACTTTGGCTACTAAATAATATTAATTCTATATTATATACTTTTTATTATCGAATTCTTCACTTATTTATTCACAACTATATCTTTTTATCTTTATTTTTATTATTTAAGGTGCTTAGATATTCGAGCTCTAATAAAATACAATCTGTTCTAATATATATTTAACCTAGGTCGAATATTGTTTAATTTAGCTGCTTACTCCGAACCCGGCTTAAAATTAGCTTAATTGTTACTATTAAATTTCGAATAAAATTTAATTAGTATTAAAAACGGAATTGAAAATACTTAATTAGTTCTTACCCTATTTTCTTATTACTTTTATTTATTACTTTACCCCTCCTTTATAACTCTTCGTATAAAGGTAGAAAGTTTTTAGGTCTTATAAAAACAATAATTTAAGTAAAATAATGGTTATATATAATAATGGGGAAGACGAATTAAATTTATAGTAATTAACGTTCTTATAATTTCGTAGGTCTAAATTGCCGTTTATACTATTTTATAATTAGGTAAAGCGGTCGAAATCTAACTTGGTACTAACTATATCCAATATAATTTCTATTATATTAGTACTAACTATATATAATATAATTTTTATTATACTAATAATAATTATACTTAATATAATCTTTATTATAATAGTATCGGATATATACAATATAGCTTCGGTTATATCGGTTGGGAACAATTTTTTATTCGTATAAAATTTGCTCAATATACGTCTATCTATTCCGTTATATAATATATTTAAATTTTCAGATACCTTTATAAAGTTATTTAGTAAAGACTCGGTTAAATACTCTAAAAATATTAAACTATTTGTAGGACGGTTAATTGGTTTAACTGGTAAATAATACGTTAGGGAAATATACGCCATATTTTAATATAATTTACGAGGGGCTGTTAAAAATAGTATATAATTTTAATAATTATTAATTACGAATAGAAAATTTATGAATTACTATTTTTGGGTAGATTTCGTTTCCGAACTATCGATTTAAATAGGACTATTAAAATATAAATATTGACGTTCATTCGGCAGCTTAAGGAGAAATTGTACAACTATATTAGGAGGGCGGAGGAATTATTGTATAAATATTTAAATACCCAAAAATTGGATTTATAGGACTGATTATTCATATAGTTGTATAGCGGCGATTATAAAGAAGATAAATTATTATAATAATATACTTAGGACCGATTATTTGGTAAGGGTTATTTAAATTTAAATGGATTATTTAGGGTAAAAACGATATTATATAATATTTATAAAACTATTATTAATTATACTATTATCCTTAGGGATAAAACTAATTTATTTTTTAATAAATATAAACCGGTCGCGGCAGAGGGTAATAAAACCGCTAAAATTCTAAAAGAAATAATTCGGGCTTTTTAAATTATAATAGCGCTTTATATACTATAGTCAGAATATTATCTTTAATACTCTCTGATATATATTAAAAATATAAAATGAAGTTATTATTATTATACGCCGATCCTACTTATATATTTATCAATATATAGACCGCTTTCGATATATCCTTATATTATAATCATAGGTTTAAACTAAATCTAATTATAATTTTAATAATATTTTATTAAATATAAGGGGACGAATTAAACCCTATAATGCTAATATACGTCGATTCCCACGTATTAAATAATAATACCCTAATAAGTACGCTAATTAAATAATCTATACATATTATAATAATAATCTTATTCACACTTTAACTATTCTAACTAGTCGCCTATTTTAAGCATGCAGTCCTTCATCGTTCAAAGCCGGGCGGAAAAACCGTATACAAGTACCAGATAAAAACCTCCCGCGTCCTTATTTATCTAATGTTTCCTTCGTTTATTCCAAACTTTCCCTTCGTTATCCTCCTTTAGCTAGCCCCTCTACCTCTACCCTTTCTTTACCACCCTAGATCGTCTATCTTTAGGGCAGTATTTTAGAGGGAGGGAAGAATGGACTTACGGATTTCGATCGGCGTTCTTAAGGTCTTCTTTCAGCCCGAAGGCCCTAGGTTCGAAGCGAAGGTAAATATTACCTTATTTATTTAAGGATTGGGCGGATAGTTATCGTATTACCAGACGGGGTGATTGCTTTTAGCGAGGGGTAGAGAATCGACCCGAATCTATTTTTCAGCGGGGTACCTAGGGTTTTGGATTAGGGTGAGCCCTGCAAGTTTAACTACGTGCTTAGGGTGGGAGAAGAATTCCATCCGAAAAATCGGATGGAAGAGAGGGGAGCGGGATTCGAACCTATGACCTTACGGAAACCACAAGGCAAATCCAAGCCCAGATCTTCCCAACTGAGCTATCCCCCCCTATATATATTATAGTAATAATAATATTAATTACTATAGTAGTAAAGATAATGAATATAATAGTAATATAATTACTCATTATAATAATAATTATAATAATAATATAATAGTTAATTATAATAATAGGCGAATTGTTTATATAATAAGCCGAATAGTAGTAGGCGTAAAATATATTATTATAATTATTTAGAAGAG